GACACTGGTACAAGTCCATCTGGTGGGGTCTCCACAGCCTCCTTGATGAAGAGGACAGGTGACCCACCACAATTACAAGACATTTTGAAAGATGCTCACAGTCCCCTGGAACTTAGTCAAGCTAGGAGGGCAAGGAGCAAAAACTGTCCTTTATGTCCCTCTGACCCAAATAGTATAGGGCTAAAAGTATGGCTTTTAAACATCGAAGAAGGTTAGTTCCACCAGTCTGGTACTTTTAATTACCATGTGCTATGTAGATAAAGCTTGGGTGAAAACCACATATTCTCAGATAAACCTTGACTAGACATATATTTTGTTCCTTGAACTAGTCGTATGTATAATTTGTCAGTACGTTGTTGGACTAATATGGCTCCCTCTGGTTTTTTAAAACTAGCTAGGCATTGTTTATCTCTCTCACTGTCAAACCCTTCCACCATGGTTTCCCCAATTAAAGTGCCCCCATTTTCCCCATTTCTCCCTTTATAATACCCTTCTCCTATGGCTCCACCTCTCTTGAGTTCCTTCTTTCTCTCTATCCCCAAGTTTCCTTGTATAACCCTCCATCTCCCCTCCCATTTAATTAACCCCATTTTTATCCATATCTCCCTAAGTAACACCCATTTCCTACTGTTCTTCTCTCTCAGGTTCCTTCTCAAAGACATAATTCTTTAACAAAAGCAAATGCCCAGTAAAATCATAACCAAGATAATAGCCTGATACCTATAGATTTCTCTGGAATGCAAGCTATCTATTCACTTGGCACTCAAACCACCCCAGTTTGAGGCTATATGATAGGTATACTATGTTTGTCATCCCACAAAAAGGAAACAAACTGGGCAAGGTGGCTTCTGCCTGTAATTCCAGCATTTAGGAGGCTGCGATAGAAGAACTTCTATGAGTTCAAGGCTGGTCTGGGCTACAGTATGCGATCCCATATGAAAAAACAGATGTAAGCAGACACCAAAACTAAACAGGAAAAGGAAAGGAAAACAAAAAAGAAATCAATGTTGGGTTTACTTGATACAGCTCCTATTTTTGTAAATTTTAAAATAATGTTGAAAAGGTTGGGGATGAAGCTCAGTTCACAGAATGTCTGCGTGATATACATGATGACCGGAGCATCCTCAGCACTCAAAAACTGAGTGTACTGGGGCAGGCCTGTAGTCCCAGAACTTGGGAGGTTGGGAAAGGAGAATCAGAAGTTCAAGATCAGGGTCAGATATATGCTAACTTTGAGGCTAGTATAGAATAAAGGAGACCCTGCCTGAAAGAAAAAAAAAAAAAAAAGACGGGTTTAAGCCAGCTGTGGTTGTACTTGCTTGCAGTCTCAGAATTTCAGAAATGGAGCCAGGAGGATCAAGAATTCAAGAGCACCCTGGGCTGCATAGTGAACCCCTCAGGTCAGCCTAGTCTATATACCTGACATACTTGCCCAGAAAAGAAAACAAAAAAGTATGAAAAAAGTGTGTGTGTGTATGTGTGTGTGTGTGTGTGTGTGTGTGTGTGTAGTAACCTTTCTCCATGTCAGCTGTGTAATATTAAACATGTAATTATAAATGACTAAGGACAGAGACTGTATATAATGATTTCTTAAGGCTCCTTCTTGCTCTAGACACAGGATTCTGATTACCTGGAGAGTACTCACTTGTGGGATGGGTATATGTGCCATGTGTGCGAGATTTATTCCTTCATATTTGGAGCACTTCTTCCATCAATGATAAATAATTGAGGATGGTTATGTTTAGAAGATGTTTGTTCTTCCATGATAATACAGTGCCCTATTCTGTTAACCAAAATTTGATTTAATAAAGTATTTACTTTTCAAAGGAAACCACAAATGAAAGCAATCATGAGGATTCAGTAGCCGTTCATTCTACCATGGCAGGTAAGAGCTTGAAAGTAACATGGGATTATATGTATTTGTATGTAGGGAGTTGAAAGAAAAGAGTGACTGTAATTCTTCAGAGAGCTCCTAGAGAGGAGAGCACTGAGATGGAGAGGATTGTAGATGTAAAGTCAGAGTTCCTGTGACATTTCAGAGTGAATCAGGAGCAAACTGACAGTAATTCTTGTGCCAGATCCAAAGACAACCAATATTTAAAGATACCATGCAGGAAGCTGGTTTCCTTATATTGTAAGTAGGAAATTAGAATGCCAGGATCCTAAAAAGCACATGTTATGTCTAAGTCCCAATGTCAAATAGAAGACTTGTACACATGATCCCCATAGTCTGATGTGGAACGATCTGAGAGGATCCCAAATGGAGGTCATGGACAGTGGAGGAAGGTCCTAGTCCATCCACAGCTGACAGGTAGAATCATGTAGGAAGACATGGCAGCATTAGGACTGCGATACTGAATGTGCATCCAGCTGGGCCTCCCTTCTCTCCACAGAGGCGGCTCAGAGTGAAGCCCCTTGGTTTCAAGAGGCCAAGAGTCTGAGTGAGCAACTGCGAGCAGCCTACATCTCCGCCAGTTTCCGACGCTTATCTTTACCTGACATCTGCTCCAGCCTACACACTGACCACTTGCTGGGCTGTGACCTGTCCATTGTTTCAAAGCACATCAGCAGGCCTGTGCAAAAGGCCCTGGTGCTGCCCGAGATCCTTGCCAACTTGAACTCTGTCATGTGTGTGGAGGGGGAAGCTGGCAGTGGAAAGACAGCCTTCCTGAAGAAAATTGCTTTTCTCTGGGCATCAGGATGCTGCCCCCTGTTGAACAGGTTCCAGCTGGTCTTCTACCTCTCCCTTACTTCTACCAGACCAGACCAGAGCCTGGCCAACATCATCTGTGACCAACTCCTCAAGGCAGAAGGCTCTGTTTCTGAAGTGTGCCTGAGCAGCAGCATCCAGCAGTTAAAGCATCAGGTGTTATTCCTTTTGGACGACTTTCATGAAATGAGCTCAGTCCCCCAAGTCATTGAAAAACTGATTGAAAGGAACTGTTTGTCACAAACCTGCTTGTTGATTGCTGTCCATAAAAACAGGTCTAGGGACATCTGTCCATACTTAGATACCATCCTCGAGATCAAAGAGTTTCCCTTCTATAACACTGTCTATGTATTACGGAGTTTCTTCTCACATAATATAATACATCTGCAAGAGTTCATGGTTTACTTTGGAATGAATAAAGGTTTACAAAGAATCCACAAGACTCCCCTCTTTGTGGCAGCAGTCTGTGCTCACTGGCTTCAAAATCCTTCTGACCCGTCCCTTGAGAGTGTGACTGTTTTCAGGTCCTACATGGAATGCCTTTCCTTAAAGCACAAAACTAGATCTGAGCTTCTCAAAGCCACGGTGTCCTCCTGTGGTCAGCTGGCCTTGAGAGGGCTTTTTTCATCTTGCTTTGAGTTTATTAGTGATGACGTCAGAGAAGCAGGAGTTGATGATGATGAGGATCTGACCACCTTCTTGATGAGCAAATTCACTGCCCAGAGACTGAGACCAGTCTACCGGTTTTTAAGTCCTGAGTTCCAAGAATTTCTTGCTGGGATGAGGCTGGTTGAACTCCTAGGTTCAGATAGGCAGGAAGACCAAGATATGGGATTTTATTATTTGAAACAAATTAACTCACCCATGAAGGCGATAAGCTCCTACAGTAATTTTTTGAAGTATGTCTCCAGCCACCCTTCAGCAAAGGCGGGGCCAAAGATTGTATCACATTTGCTTCAGTTGGTGGATAATAAAGAGCCATTCGTGAATATATCTGAAAATGAGGATTCCCTGATGCTCCATCCAGAAACTTCCCTGCAGACAAAAATAATTAGGGGATTGTGCCAGGTTTCTCCAGAAGCTTTCTCTTCAGTCATTTCAGAAAGTTTATTGACCATCGCTCTCAAGGTTGCTTATCAAAGCAACACGGTTGCTGCATGTTCTCCAGTTGTTTCGCAGTTCCTTCAGGGGAGAACACTGGCTTTGAGTGTACTGAATTTACAGTACTTTGGGGACCACCCAGAAAGCCTGTTAGTGCTGAGGAGTATCAAGATCTCCATAAATGGAAATAAAACTGCACCTAGAGTAAGTTATTCAGATATGGAGAAATGCTTTGAAACCCTACAGCCACCAACTATAGATCAGGACTATGCATCTGCTTTTGAACATATGAATGAATGGGAGGAAAATGTTGCTAAAAATGAAGAGAATATAAAGAACTTTAAGAATATGCAGTGCAAGCCCCCACCACGCATCAGTGGGGGCTATTGGCAACTGTCTCCCAAGCAGCACAAGATCCCCTGCCTGGAAGTGCACGTGGACAACATGGGTCCAGCAGACCAGGAGATGCTCCGGGTCCTAATGGAAGTTTTCTCAGCGTCACAGCACATTGAACTCCATTTATACCACAGCACTGGCTTCATTGAAAGCATCCGCCCAGCTCTGGAGCTGAATAAGGCCTCTGTCACCAAGTGCTCCATGTGCCAACTTGAGCTCAGTGAAGCAGAACAGGAGCTGCTCCTCACCCTGCCTGCCCTGCGGTCTCTAGAGGTGTCAAGGACAAACCAGTTCCAAGGTATGCTGAGTGTGCTGAGTGTATTTTACATAAACATTCTGGAATGACATGTTTTAGGTGAATGAAACTTCTGTGGCACAAGGCCATAAATGTTCCTTGATAGAACATATCTAAAGTTGACCCTCACTGTTGGAGGGTTGTAATTGTATAAAGTAATTAAAAGTCTCTGGATCATAGAATGGATTTCAAATAACTACATAAACCAATATCAGTATCACATTAATCAACGTCTTAAATTTTTTTTATTGAGCTTTTAAAATTTCATACATTTCCCACTCAAATCCAGACCCCCTCCCCCATCCATGCCTTCCCCTATCCCCTCCAGTGAATACTATGCACTCTGGCATACATGCTGAGTCTTATTCATTCAGGTATTTGTACCCAAATGTCCTTCAGTGTATATGTGTCCACTGGAGTCTAGTCAGCTCATCCAGCGGTCATACGTAAGTCATACTCTCCGCCACCCAGCAGCAATCAGTCTCAGATAGTTCTCAATCTAGTGCTGGCCTGTCACCTATTTTTCACCTCCCCTTTGGGCCCTTACTTCATTGAGCTGATATGGGTCCTGCACTCGATGCCACCCCTGCCATAGGCTCACAGGAGCAAGCCTCCAGTGGCCTGGAAGCCTCCTAATCAACGTTTCTGACAAGTGCACACAAATTGCTTATTATTAGTAAATTAACTAGGTTGTCTGTGTTACATGATCCAACCTACTTAAATAAACAAGGAGATTTGGTTTCTCAGATAATCAGCATTTTAAAAGCTGGAAATATTTCCTATTAAGTTGTATTTGGCAATTTTCAGTATATATTTTGCCTATCTTTATAATGATCTCTATTTTAAAAAACTATTATTTTTTATGTGTGTGTGTATGTGTGCATGTGTGTGTATATGCATGTGTGTTGTGGTGCCTGCAGAGGCCAGAGGAGGACTTCAGATATCATGGGGTAAGAGTTATTGGTGGTTGTGAGCTGCCTGACATGGGTGTTGTGAACTGAACTCAGGTCCTCTGTAAGAGCGTCAAGTGTTCATGACCACTAGCCATCTCTCCACCCTCTAAACTTTACCTGTTTTCCATTGCATTTATTTCTAGGTCTTGATGCCACTGTTGACATCTGAATTTTAAATTTTATAATCATTCCTCCATAGCTCTGGCTTTCAGCGGTCTGCTGTATGCTGAGGTGTGCTTTGTCTCCATCTTCCCTTTTCCTTCTTTCTGTCTCTTTCTCTCTCCCTTTGTTTTTAGAGTGGTCCTCTGTATCCCATACTGGCCTTGAACTCACTATGTACCTGATCGTGTTGCCTCCACCTTCTCTTAGACATGTGTCAACATATCTAGCTCCTGAAAAAAATAAAAATATTTCTAAATTTGATGATAAACATCAACTCACACATTCAAAAAGATTCGACTGACTCTTGTGCAAGAAATAAAGCAGGGCTGCAGGCCTAGAGTGGAGGAGAACGGAACCCCAAGGCTAAAACGGGTAGTTTATTTTATCAGTGCAGTGACCCAGAGAGAGCTATTTCTCTAAAGCAGCGCCCCAAACAAAGAAGAGCTTAGCCTTTCACACCCCATGTCCTGTTTAGTCTCTTTGTCTTCCATGTATCCTGATTGGCTGCTCTGTGCTACAAGGTCATGACAGGCAGAACGGTGCCTGTGCCTGAAGTCAGGCACAGACCACGCTGCATTTCTTCTTCTTTGCTCTGGGGGTTCCTGCCACAGCATGGCTGGGGATGTAGCTTAGTTGGTAGACTGCTTGTCTAGCATGCATAGAGACCTGGGTTGGACCCCAGGACTGCATAAACAGGGAAGGGTGGAAGATGACTATAATCCCAGTACACAGTAGGAAGAGGAAGGAGTTCAGGTGAAGCCTGGGCTACATAGTGAGTTCAAGGTCATACTGGGATATATGATAGCCTGTCTCAAAAATATATTTATTTTAAAATAATTTTTGTTGTAGTAAAATACAAACTATAACCTTCCATTTTAACCATTTACGTGTATAATTCAGAGGCATTAATTATACTCACAATGTTATACAACCAGCACCATCCACTGTTACAACTTTCTATCTTCCCACACAGCCATTTGGTATCATTAAACAATAACTCTTTTCTTTGGCTAGTCCCTGGTGGCTCTGTTCTAATATCTGTCTCAATGAATTTGCCCATTCTAGATGTTTTGTATAAATGTAAACATAATACCTTTCTGTTGTGTCTAGCTTATTTCATCTTACATAATGTTTTCAAAGTTTATCACAGCATAGCTTGTATCAGACCTTGATTTCCTTTTTTATTGCCGAATGATATTCCATTGTGTGTGTCTTTATCATTGTGTGTGTCATGTTTTTTTTATCCATTCATCCAATGATGGACATTGGATTGTTTAAATCTTCTGGCTATTGTGAATAATTTTCAGTGAATATTTGTATTACCAGTACCTGTTTGAGTCCCTGTTTCAAATTGTTTTTGATTTATTCTTATGAATACAGTTGCTTGATCCTGACATGTAAGGTTACCCCCTGCCCCAGTTGCTTTTAGTCAGCATGTTTTATCACAGCAACAGAGATACAAACTAGAATAGCTAGCCTGGCGACAGTGTGAGTTCTAGGACAGCCTGGGCTATAGAAACTCTGTCTCAAGCAAAACAAAGCATAATTGTTACATTGAGGGTGTTCTTCACTATTTCTGTATATAAACTCTTAAGTTTCAGGAAAAAGTATCTCACTGGTATAGCATTTAGCTACCATGTGCAAGGCCCTGGGTATGGCCTCTAGGATAGTAAAGAAAAAAATTCTAGTATAAATAACCCTTATCAGACATACAGTTAGAAAAATATTTTCTACCATTCTGCATGTTGTCATTTTACCTTGTATAATGTCCTCTGCTGTACAAATGACAGTTTTGAGGAGGTCTATTATCTTTTTTGTGTCCTTTTTATGTCATATCTAAGAATCTGTTGTCAAATGCAAGCTCACGAAGATTTCTTATTTCCTTTTCTCTGTGGTTTTGGATCTTAAATTTGTGGTTGATGCACTTTGAGTTACCTTTTTATATGAGTTGGAGGTAAGAGTCCAACTGCATTCTTTTGCATATTGCAAAACCAGTTGTCCCCACACTGCTGGGGAGATGTCTTTTTTTTTTTTTTTAATGAGTCTAGAGAGTAGCATAGGGCTTCTGTAGAGTCTATAATCAGCATCATGTGTGTGCTTTCTAAACAGGTTGTGCTATCTGATAAATTTTATTTTGAAAATGTGAAACTAGCTGACGAATCACAGTAACACTTCAGCATTTCCATTTGGAACCCTTCAGTGATGGGAAACTGTGTGCTGCCTTCCAGATCTCATCCTTCCTAACTTGGACAAGTTCCCGTGCCTGAAAGAACTGTCTGTGACACTCGATGACAAACCAGACGTGCTGTCAGTCATTCCCGAAGATTTCCCAAACCTCCACCACATGGAGAAATTATCCATCCAAACTTCCACCGAGTCTGATCCCTCAAAACTAGGTAAGAATGGTACTTGAATTTCCTTGTTTGTTTCAGTTGGAAAAGCTAGTTGTCTAACAATCTGTGTCAGAGTTAAAACATCTGTGGGCCTGGCAGTGTAGATGGTATCCAGTGTGGAGTGTGGAGACAGCACTTTCCTCGTTAAGAAGAAATTCATTTGTAAACCTGGAATCTTGCTCATGTTAAGAATTGTTCTTAGTACCTCACAAGTATTAGTTCCATCTTCACATTCACTGTGTGATGTAAGGAAATGTTAATACTGCCATTTTGTAGCTGGGGAAATTGAGGTTAGCAATTTGCTGAATTTTATCTAGCTAAGAAGTATATTCAAACACAGATGTTTTGACTCCAAAGTCTGAGCTGTAAACTTCCAATACTCTTCCTCCCCAAAACAATTCATAGAACTTTTTTCTTTCCTTGTTTAAACTGCTCTCCCACTGCAGTTCACAGATCAGCTGCGGAGGGAGAAGGGAATTTGATGGTAGCAGTCCAAACCATTTCCCTATTTTTCCCCAGCCTAGCCTCATGGCTGACGGACAGCTTGTGCAGCCATGTTTCTAGAACACATCATTTAGTAAAATGACTAAAGCATCACCAGCCTCTTGATTTGGTAAACACAGAACACCGAGGACTAAGGAAATGTAAACCTGGAGCTAATGTGCAGAGTCGCATGGAAATAGTCATTGAGGAAGGGAGACTCATACCTGGAGTTCCAGCACTGAAGGAGGAGAGCTGCCTCCAGTTCAAAGCCAGCCTGGCTGTGTATCTCTAGTTACTTCCAGGCCAGCCTGAGTTACAGTGTGAGATCCTTTCTGAAATAAGAAAGAAAACAAACAAAAGTTTTGCGGACCCCAGATGGCTTAGCAGTTAAATACACTTGCTTCTTCAGATGAGCTGAGTTTGATTTCCAGGACCTTCTAGTGGAAGGAGAGAACCGATTCCCCCAGTTGTCATCTGACTTACACATGTGTGCCATGACACATGCCTGACTCCCTGACGCACATATGCACAGAAAATCACGTAATTTTGAAAAATTATTTAAAAATTTTGTGCTTCAGAGTTATCCTTTTTTTGATGTTACTCTATATAGAATTCTCATTGCATAAATGCAGGGAACGAACACAGAGACACCAGGATGCTAACACTGAAGCTGACTTTACTGGGCCCTTATTTTGAGAAGAGGAAACTGATCCCCAGAGAGGGTTTGTTGTTTGTCCAAGTTTATCATCACTAGTTAGTTGCAGAACCTGAACATGGCCCGAACACAGCCCAAAGTAGTCTGAATATGAGATCATTACATCATGGCGCCTTGTTTTAATTCAGTAATTTAGAACTTATGAATCACAAGGCTAATGTTGATAGATATTTGCAGGCTTTTCTAATTTCTGAAAATTCTTGATCTTTTACAGTTAAGGTGATTCAGAATTCTCCAGATCTTCAAGTTTTCCATCTGAAATGTGATTCCTTTTCGGATTTTGAGTCTCTCATGACTGTACTTGTTTCCTGCAAGAAACTCAAAGAGATTGGGTTTTCTGGAGGATACTTTGATGCCCTGCCATTTGGTAAGAACTGTGACCTTACAATTTTGGCTCAAGATGCTTTTGTGCACAAAGCTGTATTAAATATTCTAGAAAAAGTCAACATTTAAAAATGCAAACGATATCAAAAAACTGTAACAAAACGATTTTATATGAGTTTCTCAAAATAATACTGTATTTCTACTTACAATTTCAAGCATCTTATTTCAGAATTATTTTCTAAGCCAAGATTTTTTTCTCTTAGTCATACTAATTCAATTTGAATTATTACATTACTTTCATCATGTTTTTAATACTCTTTTAAATGGTCTTGCTCTTTGCTACAGGAAACGTATCTGACATGACTAAAATTTTATTTTCTCTTTTATAGTCACCATTTTACCAAATTTTATTTCTCTGAAGACATTAAATCTTGAATACCAACACTTTTCCAATAAAGAAGCATCAGAAAAATTTGGTACGTTTGCAAAACAGTGTTTTTAAATTTATTCCTTATGTCCCCCTCCCCCAGTCAACCCATAGCAAAGCAAGCTATGCAGAGCTGCCCTTGACAACCATGAGTATTGGTTCCAGGACCTCCTGCTGATGCTAACAGTAGAAGATGCTCCAGTCCATTATATGAAATGATGCAGTGCTTGCATATGACCACATATCCTCTGTGTGTGTGTGTGTGCGTGTGTTTGTGTGTGTTACAAGGATGGAATCCAGGGCCTCAAGCATGCTAAGGAAGCACTGAGCCCCAGGTTTCCAATCTTGTGGACTCAATTTCTTTCCTAAGGGAACTGATATCTGTGGAGAAATGTTTCATTCAAAAACTGGGACAAGGAAAGTCAAAGATGAGCCTAGAACATTGCTTCATGCCAGAAAGTTTTCAAAAACAGTTTTTGTGAGGCATCAGAAGAAGAGACTTGGTGATCAAATGATCTACACTGTGTCATGCTGAGGAGTCGATGCAGGAAGGAAGGCTGAGTGGAGGACCATGCTGTAGTGCCCAGTGTGGGTCTCCTCGGTGTGAAAATCACTGAAAAGGGAGGGGGCTGAAGGCGCTGTGGAGCTGGAAGAGTGACCTGCAGCCAGCTGAAGCCTCCTGTGTAGGACCAACTAGAGATGGAGAAGCAGCCTGCACTTGGGTGAAGAGAGAGAGGCTAGGGGAGGGTGAGGAGCTGTCCACAGAGAGCAGCAGGCAGCAGGTGTGTGCTGACCCCTCTCTCTTGCCCTTGGGGACAGGGATGAGGAGGCCTCTGCTGGGTGGGGCCTCCTAGACTGCAGTCTCCAGGTCATCAACTCCTCACCCATGGAAACTGCTACAGAGAATGGCTTTGTTGTCTCCCACAGCACACACTCTAGGTTCTCTCAGGAACCTGGAGGAGCTGCTTCTTCCCCATGGGGACGGGATTCATCACGTGGCCAAGCTGATTGTCAGGCAGTGTCTACAGCTGCAGAGTCTCCGAGTTCTCTCCTTTCGCCAGACCTTGGATGATGACAGTGTGATGGAAATCGGTGAGTTTCCTCAGAGAGACGGTTCTGTTTGTGCAGAAGCCAGTGGCATCGTTGGAGCTGTCTGCTCCAAGTCTATGAAAACATCTGACTCTCCAAACTGTTCAGCCTACTTCCTCACTTCCTCTACCCTGTAGATTCCTCTCCTGCTTTGTGTAGATTTACGTTCATCCTGGTCAGACTGGGAAGGTCAAGAAGCCTCTTTTTCCAAGTTTTAGATGCCATCAAAACTGTGTTTTTGTTTCCATTTTTTCAGGGCTGGGATTGAACCCAGGGCACCACAAAAATAAATAAATACATAAATAAATCCCCATTAACCTGTCTACTTTCTTTATAGCTCTACTTTGGGGGTATGTATCTTCAAACTTGGTGCATAGGGAATTTAAAATTGTAAGATCTTTCTGGTAGATCAGCCTTCTATCTGCAGTAGGACTTCCTGCCTTATACTCACTTTCTTGTATTAACATAGGCATCCAGTATTCTATTCTTTTGATGTCTTTTCCCCTTCCTTTCACCTTTACTCTTTCTATGACCCACAATTTAAAGGTGTGTCTCTTGTACAGTTAGATAATAAGGCTTTAAAAACCCAATCTAGAGCTGGGCATGATGGCCCATGCCTTTAATCCCAGCACTAGGGAGGCAGCAGCAGGTGGATCTCTGTGAGTTCAAGGCCAGCCTGGTCTACATAGCGAGTTCCAGGCCAGTTGGGGCTACAGGGAGACCCTGTCTCAAAAAGACACCCCCCCCCAAAAAAAACCCAACCAAACAAAAAACCCCAATCTAGGACTGAAGAACTAGCTGGTTGGTAAAGGGCTTGCCTAACATGCATGAGGTCCTCGGCTTTATCCCCAGCCCTGCATAAAACCAGGTATAGTAGTGCATACCTATAATCTCAGCACTCAGGAGGTAGAGGCAGGAGGATCAGCAGTATAAGAATTTCCTTGGCTACATAGTGAGTTGAAGGTTATTATAGAATACCTATGACTGTTTTTAAAATGATTCCACCTTCCCCCATGCCTCAAAAACTACACTAAATTAATAATAAATAGACATAGACAAACAAATTAATTAAAAAATATGGGGCTGTAGAGATGGTTCAGTCTGTAAGGTACTTGTTGTGCAAACATGAGGACCTGGGTTTGATCTCTAGCACCCACCTGAAAGTTGGACCCAGAGGCTGAAATGCAGACAGGAAAATCCCTGGGATCTGAGAACCAGACAGTCTAGTGAACTCCAGGTTTAACAGAGACCTGTTTCAAAAAGTAATGAAGACAATCCAACGCTGACCTCTCATCTCCACATATACCCACACATGCATGTGCACTTCACACCCCACAATTAAAAACAAAAATCCAGTCTACTAATCCTTTAATCTATTTACATACAACATTATATATATAATTTTTTGAGACAGGGCCTCTCAATTAATAACCCAGTCTGGACATGAACTTGCTATATAGCCTATGCTGACCCCAAACTTCCAATCATTCTGCATTGGTCTCTCCAGTGCTGAGATTACAGGCATATGCTGTGTTTTCATTTGGTGTTTCTTTATTGTCTCACAGGATTTTTTATCTATTCTTTTTTTCTTCCTACATTTATTAGCTTATTAAAATTGCAGTCTCTTTTCTTTTTTCTTTTTTAATTATTTATTTGATAACCACATACTTAGAAGAAGCATTTCATTACAACAGCACTGACATATTCAATAATAATTTTCTGAGCTAAGATGCATCTCTTTCAAAACTGGCTGTAAATTTTTAGGTTTACAGTTGAATTATTACAGTTATACAATATTGTGCTCAGTATAAACCTATACTCAGTATAGGACATAAAATTACATGAGGTTTTAACCTTTAAAAAGGATCTCCATTTCATTATTAAAATACACAGTTTCATACAGGAAAATTCATTTTAAATGCAATTGACATTAAGATGTTTGCACATGTGTTTCTAATCTCTATATATCTGATTATTATTAGTCACAGTCAGTTACTTTCTGAGCTCCTTGGCATCTGAGCATGGATATAAAGT